AACTAGGTGTCCTTGGAGACATGCTTGTCTTTCTGTCCCTGAATTCTTCCATTTGGGTGAAATAGCGATACCTACAAAGTACAGGTGTCTGAAGGATGAGTTAACAAACATAAAGAAAATGGTACATTTTCCACTTAGAAAATGGTAAAGGATCAAAAAATGGTAACTGCGACGTTGTTTCTCCCTGCCATTCTGTTCTATCATCTGCTTACATTTCACAGCACTTGTAACTACCTCAAACTCTTATTTCCTTGTTTAGTTTTTGAAATGTCTATTGTCCCACCAGAATGATCCTCCAAAAAAGCAAGGACTTGTTCTCCATGTCTGTTTCCAGGACAAATCCCCCAGAAAATGGCAGGCAGTCTGGTTGTTGAAGCAATCAATATCTCTAATTCAGACAGCTTGGTAACACGCATTAAGCAATCCCAGCCATCAGTCTAGAAATAGCACTCAGTTTTAAGTTGACTTCACGAAATCAACTTTTGGGGGAGTGCATACAAAATATTTTGGAGTACACATTTAAAAAAAAAAATCGGTCTTAAATTTTTAAGCGGCTACTTGGAGAAGCCACTTTAAGAGTCCAACTCTTTTTGATAAAACCAATAAAGATACCGGAATAGAATAGTGGAATAAAAGCTTGATGCTCGTATGTTCTAAGCAATTTTATAATGTAAAATGTAAGATTTGATTTATAGTCTAAGAAGGACATTTGGTCCTAACTATTTAAATATCAAAAGATAAACTGGAAAAGTGTACAGAGCCACCGGAGCAGTCAAAGACACTGACCACGCTCCCCGAGACCTGAAGTGAGGGCGCCCCGTGGAGAGGGGCTGCAGACCTGACTAAGGCTGATGGGCCCTCAAGCCCCCTGAGTCCCGGGAGGGAGGAGCACCCGGGCTCTCGCAAAGGCCTGTGGGATCAGCCAGGCTACCGTGGTTCCTCCCCTGACGATGGGAATGTGCCCGCGCTCCCAGGGCTGCCAAGAACGCACGCTCCGACCCAGCGCTCACCACCTCTTCCCACAGCTGTGTCTAATCCTCTCCTGGTCCCACCCACCAGCCTCCCTGGCCCCAAATTCTCCTTATACAAAAGATCAAATCATGTCACTCCTCTCCCTGATGAAGAGCCACCAGTGGCGCCCTGACCGGCGCCACTCAGATGGTCGGGCATTGTCCCCCTAAACGAAAGAAAGGTCTGTCAGTTCAATTCCTGGTTAGGGCACCTGCCCGGGTTGTGGGTTCGGTCCCCAGTCAGGGCATATTCAAGAGGCAACCGATCACGTCGCTAAGTTTCTCTCCCTCTCTGCCTCCTGCCCTTCCCCTCTCTCCAAAAATAAATAAATAAATAAATAAGATCTTTAAAAGTCACCAGCGACTTCTAAACCTTCACACCGGGCCCTAGCCTCCCCTCCCATTGTCATTGCCACACGCCACTCTCCCTGCCACATGCCACTCTCCCCGCCACACCCCAAGCAGCCACTTCCCAAACCTGGCTCACACTCTAGCCAGGCAGGAAGGCTCTCTTGCTCTCCATGAGCCCCTCGCACCCCGCACCCCCCCCCACCCTGCACCTGTACAGGCCAAGCTTGAAGCCTCGTCGCTGGGGAAGCGCTCTACCAGCTCCAAGGCGGAAGTGACTGTTTCTTGTTCCCTGTCCTCCAAGCACTTACCACACTTAGTTCTCATCAGTATCCCCCCAAAAGGCCGCACGTCTCACCATCTCCAGAACCCCAGGGTGACTCACAGAGACTGGCACTAACTAGTCAGCCCTCGATACACATGGATGGGGTTTAACGTGACATCATGTACTCAACGTACACAGCACAGCTTTAGAACGTTGGGAGCTTCCTGCACACACACATCCCCTTTGTTGGTCCTGGAAATCAAAAGTCTGAACTTTTCTCTACAGGCCCTGGGCAGGTTATCGCCAAGCAGTGGATCCAGATATTCCAAAGGAAAACAACATCCAGTCACCCCCTCCTCCTGGCCAAACGCCCGCCTGAAATTTCTCAGTGGGCTAGGACCACCTGCTTCTGGAATTACAGGCACAGAAATGCTTGCCACTTGCAATACGAATGTTGCGGTTACCAAACAAACTACTAGCTGGTCGGTTGTGGGGCCAGCTGGGAGCGGTCAGCATGTCCCTGCTGCCCAGCGACTCAGCCGGAAAAAGGCACCTGCGCAAACCTCGCTCAGCTCTCGCCCAGGTCCAAGGCGCGGGCCACACCCCTCGGAACGGAACTCAAAGCCACCCCTCTCCTTCCCTAGTGCGAGGACCTAACGGAACAACTTTATCACCGCTCTGGAAGAGACCAACTGGAAAACAATCAAGTCTTGTAAAGAATAACTGAATAATAATTGACCATAAGCATAATAAAGTTTACACTGGTATTTGCCTACCAGTTATTTAAGAGGACAACTGGAGACTGACGAGTTTAATTCAAGTTCTACAAGTGGGACCGGAAGGGCTTCAGTAATGCTCATCTGTGTGTCTGGTTTTCTGGCTGGTCCACACTCACGAAATAAGTGGTCAAAATCACAAAACAACATCAAAGCTCTTGATAGTCGTGTAGAAGGTTCAGTGTGGGGGATCAGTTGAAAGATATGCTGCAAGAAATATATTCCTAATAATAAAGTATCAAAGACAGTGATTCCTGCTTGTGAATTCCTGCTTGTAAACTGGTCAGATTCCAGGGTATTCCTATATAATGTCGTGCATTCTTTTCAAAGTACACTTACAGCCAGGCTCCCTCTGAGTATACCCTTGGGGCATTTTTTTTTCCTTTGGTATGAACTTGTCAACACGTGCACTGTGGCTCAAAAGAAAAGGCTTGTGAGCCCGTCATCAGTGACTCCAAGACTTTGGAATTTCAAAGCTCAATAAAAAAAAATCTTGCAACCAAAAAACATAGGAAACCTTTGCACCAGACACTATGGGTTTCCTTAGGGAATCTTTACAGTAGACAAACTCTCTCCAACGATTCAGCCTTGCCACCATTACTGAAGCAAAATTCGAGTAGAACCCCCACACCCCTGGGGCTGTTCCAAAGAAAGCCCCCCTTGGATCCCAGCAGGCACGGCTTGGCCGGTTACCCGATGCCTCCCTTTTAGAAGGCCGCCCTTGACTTCCAATCCCGGCCCTGCGTGAAGGGCTGAGCTGGGGGCTGCGGCTGCCACTCCCTCCAGCCGCTGTCCGCCGTGACTCCCGAAGGCTCTCTACCCAGATACGGGCAACCCTCAATGACCAAAAGCACTGTGAAACCCTAATGGCCGCAATATTTTTCTTTGGTCAATATGTAGACCACCGACACCTATGAGTTTACCAGTTCTTCCAGAACGGAAACAAGCAGGAGCAGCTGAAATAGGGACAAGTCAAATGCCATTGCTATACTGACAGGGGCACATTCAAAACGGTGGAGGGGACATGCGGGCATAGATGGAAAAGGACTGGCCACGCGCTGATAAATTTTGGAGTTGGAGAAAGGGTCCACGGGGGCTCCATATCCTGTTGGATTATAGTATTTTTATAAATGCTTGAAGTTTGCCAAAATAGAAAGTGAAACATAAGCGTGACATCAGGTTGTTGGTTGTTTTTTTTTAAACTATTACAATGCAATCTATAGAGTGCACACCAATGAAGGTATATAGTCTTATTCCTCATGCCTGGAGGTCTTTTTCAGAGACATCAATCTTGCCCCTTTACGAGATGGCTTAATTACAGGGACGCCATTGAGGGTTTTTGCTAAAGTCAATAAAGGAGAAAATTAAGACACCTTTTGAAACTCAGCCCAGCTTACAAAACAAACAAGATGCAAGCCTCACCAGGTTTTTTGTCTGTTCGATTGGAGGGAAGCAGTTTTAACGATTTCCGCTAGGCAGAAACACACAAAACACAACAACAAAAAAATGTTAAATGCTATAAATTTGCCACATGCCTAGAGGAAGACGCGTGAGCAAGTAAAAGCCAGTCCCTCAGAGGAAGGCCGCGACCAACAGTGGGCGAGGGAAAGGGTGGCTTCACAGTCTCTTAGCTTTTGAACTTTTGACCTCTTCCCAAAATGTCACGAAAGCATTTCTAAACCTTGGAACGAGAAAGAACGCTTTCTTTCTTGAAACCGTTTCATAAAACACCCTTTATTTTATAAGCGTTTAGCCACCGGCCCACGGTCCAAAACTAAAAAGCATGTTCTAAAAGAGATGCACACGGGATTGAGAAAAATGTGGAGAGCGGTGCAGTACCAAACAGCTAGTCAAGCACCAGGTGCGCAGCGGAGTTACCGCCTATCGGGCCCTCGTCCCGGGTGCCCTGCCTTCGCTGCCGTTGAGGATCGGACTTTTCCTGTCCTCCTCGCGTCCCCTCCTTCCTTCAACACACAAAATGACCTGAAGAAACCTGTCCCGGAGGCAGGATACTGAAAACGAAATCGACAGCCCTGCCTCGCAGGGAAATGCCGGCGCTTAAAAGGCGACCCCTCCGCCTGCAGCCAGACGCATCCCCCGAAAGGGCATCCCCCGAAAGGGCATCCCCCGAAAGGGCATCCCGGGGCCGCCGCGCACCTGAGCCGCCCGCCGCCGCCTCCCACGGTAGCGCCCGCGGCCACCTGATGCTACCTGGATCCTCTCTCTCGGCTGCTCTCCGGCTCGCACACACTCCCCCGTCCCGATCGCTGCGGCAAAGGTGACCCTCGCAGACCCCGGAGCGGCCGCGGACCCGCCGCGCCTCCCGCGCCGCCGCCGCCGCCGCCTACCTGGCCAGCCCCCGGCACCGCCCCGCCGCCAGGGAGGCTCCGCGCGCCGGCCGGGAGGCGTGTGGGGAAAGGTACAAACCCCGGTTTTAGGTGCCAGGCTGTCCCCCAATCCCGCTCTCGCAGAGGGCCGCCGGCCCCTCCCCCGGCGGCGCAGAGCCTGAGGGAGGCGCGCGGCGCCCAGGGGAGCGGCCGGGGCTTCCCCGGCCCGCGGCGCGCTCGGGGCGGGGCGGCTCCCCACGGCGGCCGGACTCACCGAGGCAGCGGATGTGGAAGCCCGAGGGCGGCCGCAGCGCCCGGCGCGTCCAGCCCTCACGCAGCACCTCCAGATGCTCCTCTTTGCCCTGGATCAGCAGGACCTGCTCGTCGATCCAGCCCAGGAAGAAGGTCTCGGCCACCGCGGCCGTGACCTTCTTGTTCCAGAAGTGCTGCATGTTCTCGGCTTTGAAGTCGGCGAAGATCTCGTAGCCGATGTGGTGCCGGGAGAGCTGCCGGGGCTGGGCCGGCGGCGCGGGCTGGGCGGCCCCGGACCTCTCCCCCGCGGGACCCTCGGCGGGGCCCAGGACGATGGCCAGAGAGTGGGGCGCGATTTGCAGAAACTTCTCCATCTTCGGAGGCATCGGCGCCCGCCGCGGGGCCCCGTTTACCGCATCCGCCGCCTCCCGCCGCTCCCGGGGGCAGCCGCGGGCACGTCCCTGCGCGACAAGCCGCGAGCGTTAGCGCCCCCGGACCGGGCGGACGGCGCCCCCCACCCTGCGCCCCGGCCGCCCGGGACGCCCCGCGCAGCCCCTGGGCGCCGCCCGCTCGGCCCGAGGTCCGGCGCGCTTACCTGCAGCTCCGGGCCACCCTCCGGGCACCGCTCATTTTCCTGCAGCGGCACCCGCGCCTCCCTCGGCGCCCAGCGGCCCTGGCAGGGGGCGGAGACGCGGGAGGAGGCGGGCAGTTGGCGCCGAGTCCCGGGAACCCTCTCAGCGGGGCTCGCCCGAGGGATCCCCGCAGTCCGAAGCGGGAGGTGGCCGAGGAGGCACGTCTGGCCGGCGGGGGAAGAGGCGTGCGTTTAGGTGGCGGGGCTCCAGGGAGACCGGGAGGCCCCAGGGGACGCGCGGCGACACTTGGAAGACAAGGATTCCCGAGCTGTTCGTGTCGCTCCTCCCCGCGCTCCACCCCCGCTGGAACAAGTGGATTCGCTGACTGGTTGGTGTGCCCTTGGAAGTGGAGTTTTAAAAAAACTTAGTCAAGCAGGAAAAATGGTCATCAGTTCCGAATCCCAAACTCTGTGGTCCTCTCCTGTCGCCTCTCCATCCGGTGCTGTGGGCCGACTGCAGAAGACAGCCAGGAACTGCCCGTGTTACCTACAAAACTCCCAGCTGACGAGGGGACGTAGCAATTTACCAGGAAAGGTACGATTGTGCTTTCAAAAGAAAACTTTATTAGCCTGTTTTTGTACAAAGACTCTGTTTTGCGTAGTTCTCATTGAGAAGGGCTATGTAGGCACACCTTGGAGCTGTTGGGTTCGGTCTCCGAGCACCGCGACAAAGGCCGTATCGCAGTAACGCAGGTCACATAAATGGTTTGGCTTCCCATTTTCCCAGTGCGTATAGAAGTGATATATGCACACTATACTGTAGTCTAGAAAATGTGTAGCACTATGTCTTTAAAAAAACACAATGCACATACCTTAATTTAAAAATACTTTCTGGCTAAAACATCCTAACCATCGTCTGTGCCGTCAGGGAGTCACCCAGCGCCGCCTCCCGCTGGCGGAGGCGCCTGCGCCGGTGGCAATGACTGCTAACTGCTCCCGCCTGCGGTGCCTGAGGGCTGCGGGAGCTGTGGCAATTCCTTAAAAGAAGGCCACAATGAAGCTGGCCACACCCGTTGACTCTTCCTTTCAAGAACGATTTCTCTGCAGCACGCGATGCTGTCTGACAGCATTTTACCCAGGAGCACTTCTTTCAAAGTTGGAGTCAAGCCTCTTAAACCTGGCGGCTGCTTTGTCAGCTCAGCTTAAGTCATGTTCTAACTCCTGCTTCCCCATCTCACCAGTCTTCACAGCATCTTCACCAGCAGTAGACGCCACCTCAAGAAACCACCGTCTAGGCTCATCCATAGGCATCCACTCCTCACATGAAAGTTTGATCGGGGACTCCTGCAATTCAGTCACACCCTCAGGCTCCGCTTCTGTTTCTGCCACAGCCGCAGTTACGTCCTCCCCGGAAGTCCTGAACCCCTCAGAGACATCCCCCAGGGCGGGAAGCCACTTCTTCCAGACTCCTGTTAATGTTGGTATTTTGACCTGTGCTCGTGAATCACAAACATTCTTACTGGCATCTAGAATGATGAATCCTTTCCAGAAGGCTTTTGGTTGACTTTGCCCAGATCCATCAGAGGAATCACTATCTGTGGCAGCTATGACCTTACACAATGTATTTCTTAAATTAAAAAAAAAAGAAAACAAAAAACAAAAAACTTGCAAGTCAAGATTACTCTTTGATCCACGGGCTACAGAATGGATGTCGTGTTAGCTGGCATGAAAACAACATTAATCTCATTGTCTGTCTCCACCAGAGCCCTTGGGTAGCCACATACATTGCCAACAAGCAGTAATATTTTGAAAGGAACCTTTTTTCTGAGCAGTAGGTCTCAACCGCGGGCTTAAATATTCAGTAAACTGTATTGTAAGCAGATGTTTCATCCAGGCATCGTTTTCCCTCCATAGAGCACAGGCTGCGTAGGGTTAGCATAACCCCTAAGGGCCCCGGGATTTCCAGGATGCCGAACAAGCACAGGCTTCAGCTGACAGCCACCAGCTGCCTCAGCCCCTCGCAGGAGAGGCGGCCTGTCCTTCGAAGGCCTGAAGCCAGGCATCGACTTCTCCTCTCCAGCTATGAAAATGCTCAGTGGCCTCTTCTTCCAATAAAAGGCTATTTCATCTACGCTGAAAGTCTGTTGGTTCCTGTAACCACCTTCATCTGTCATCTAGATCGTCTGGAGAACTTGCTGCAGCGTGAACAGCAGCACTGGCTGCTCCACCTTGCTCTTTGATGCTATGGAGACGGCTTCTATCCTTGAACCTCAAGAACCAACCCGCTGGCTTCAGGCTTTTCTTCTGCAGCTTCCTCACCTCTCAGCCTTCATGGAATTGAAGAGAGTGAGGGCCTGTCTCCAGAGTAGGCTTTGGTTTAAGGGAATGCTGTGTGGCTGGTTGGACTTCTATGGAAACCACTAACACTTTCTCCGTATCAGCAGCACGGCTGTTTTGCTCTCTTATCATTCGTGTGTTCACTGGAGCAGCTCTTGGAATTTCCCTCAAAAACTTTTCCTTTGCATTCGCCACTTGGCTAACTGTTTGGCTCATTCTGGGGACACAAGGGACCTAGCTTTTTGCCCATGTTGGCTTTCGACATGCCTTCCTCACTAAGCTGAAATATTTCTAGCTTTTGATTTGAAGTGAGAGACACGTGACCCTTCACTTGAACATCTAATGGCCACAGTAGGGTTATCAACTGACCAAATTTCAATACGATGCCTCAGGGAACAGGGAGGCCTGAGGAGAGGGAGGGAGATGGGGGAATGGCCTGTTGCTGGTGCGGTGAAGAAATTCATATTGAGGTTCACTGTCTTATATGAGTCAGGATCCAGGCCAACGGGGTGCTTCTGGCTCAAGGTCTCTCATGAAGTTGCAGTCTAGCTGGAGCCGAAGTCTCATCTGAAGGCTCAACTGGGCATGCTTTCACTGCCAAACTGGCAGATGTAGTTGTTGGCAGGACTCAAGTCCTTGAGGGCTGTTGGACTGAGAGTCTTAGTTCCCCGCTTTCTGGAGCCCCACGCTGTTCCTAGCAATATGGTCCTCTTTCAGGGAGATTCACAACATGCCAGATGGCTCCCCTTAGATCGCGCAAGTCAGGAATCACAGCCCCGCCTTGGAAGCGATATCCCAGCACCTCCGCCGCATTCTGTTTGCTAGAAGTGAGTCGCTGAAGTTAAACCCCGCTCAAAGGAAGAGGAGTACATGAAGGTATGAAGACAAGGGCGTTGGCGTCCTTTGAGGTCACCTTGGAGGCTATCTACAAGATGTCTAATGAATCGTGTTCCACTATTAAGAGGTTTGCAAGAAAGTATACAATTAAAAGAGCAATTTTGAAATGAATGCACTCACATACAGACAGCAAGTTCTTCATACACACACACACACACACACACACACAAATATAAGAAAAAGTATTGAGCCTTTGAGCAGGAAGGGCCATCTGAGAGTCTGCGCAATGAGAACACAATGGACTTCGGACGAGAGGCTCCTTTACCGAGTCCAGCCTCTGCTGTCAGCTGCACCACCCACCTCATCGACGCCGTCCTTGCCGCTTCCTGACTACGCTCTAGATGCCAGGCAGCTGCTCAGAACTTTTTATATGAGGTGTGATTTCTGTAATTGTTTTCATAAGATAAAAGGAATGACAATAATATATTCGAGATGCGCAAGCCAACATATTTTCGTTTTCAGGAATCCTCTGTTCCCAGCTGCCCCACAGCCCCTCGCGTCCGCGGACTCAGTCGTTTCCACTCCCTGTCGGCAGGTCACAGTCCGCCCGTGCGTACAGCTTTCCTGGCCTCCTCCCGCGGGCCGCCCTCCCCACGTCCCCTCGCCGTCGCCCCGCGCAGGCCGCCCTCTCCAGCTGCCACAGCCGTGGGGAGCCGGCGCAGAAATGAGCTCTGCCCGACGCTGTCTGTGAAGACCAAATGAAAACCAGTCAGAGAAAAATAAATAGATGTAGGGGAAGCAACAGCCGAGGACAGCCATAGCCTAACGGTTGCATGAATGAACGCTTTCAAAGCGTCGACAGGCGACAGGCGCAGGGACAGAAAGAAGCAGGGAGGACCTGCCGCGGAGCGGCTCCGTGTGGGGGCGGGGCACCTCGGACGGCTTGGGCATTTGCTCCAGGCCAAAGGGTGAGAAGGAGCCCCGCTTGCCAAGGCCGTCACCGCCACACTGTTGATGTCACTAGAAATACTACGCTGTGTATAATGTCCCCTTCAGAGAGGAGCATGTGTGTTTTATCGCAAAGGAAGGGGCAAACGGTGCATGGCAAGGAGCTGGGGTTTCCTTCCCTAGGTCCAGCATCCAAGACCTTCATACGGACCCAAATAGTGGAGAGATTTCCTGGTTATTTTCCAAAGAAAAGTACTCAACACTTATCAAATGCCTCATTCTTGCAGAACTCAATAAGGAGGAACAGTTATTATTCTCCTTTTCCCAGTGAGAAGACGGAAGGTTGCAGATGTTAAGTCATTTTCCCAAAGTCAAAACTAATGGCTGATAAGCCTAAGATTGGAACCTAAGACGGGGGACTCCAGACCCCGCGCGTCTTCTGCATCCACTGCAGCCTCCAGGAGAGCTGCAAACGTGCCAGATGAACCGGCATCGCTCCATTCAGAAGACATGCTGGCACCGATTTACGGGACACATTCAGGAAAGGCAATGACGAACTGCTTGACTATCTAATCAAATACGAAAACCTCCAACCCAACTCAAACACCCCAGGGAGAAACCTTGCTTCGGCAGTCTCACTACCACGGTTCCAGATCGGGCGGGGTTTTGTGCAGCGAGAGAGAGCACTGGAAT